ACAAGCCTCAGATGAAGAGCATCAACTGAAAGGTACTAAGAAGCTGGCTTGGAAGCACGCGTGCACACAGATATGGACCCGTCCACCTGCAGCTACTGACACTGTGTTCATCAATCTCATCTCAGCTCTGGCAGCGAGCTTAAAAATATATCATATCAGCTCCTCTTAAAAGGTTCCCTCATGTATATGTCTGTGCAGACACCAGACCTGGCACAACACACCAGTGCGCTGCACTGCACTCCCGAAAAACGGATCCGGACAGCCAGCTGGTTTGCAGTAATGCAATTTACACATTTCTCCCAATTTCAGCTTTTAAACAGCCCTCAAATGGGAAGTTTATGCTGTAAAAATCTCACTTCAAATTAACCAATCACCAGAAAAGCAAGCATTCACGTGCTCCTACTCTGCAAAATTAATTTAGCACTTTTACATATTCAAGCAAAAAGAGAATGTGCATTGTTGCAAAAAAATAATGGGCCAGGTCCCCAGTCAGAAAAAAGTGTCACAGTTCCAGTGAGTGATGCAGACTTACAATAGGTATTATTTACAGTGCAGGGAAAATGGGACTAGAAAATTACAGCTGTAATGCAGGGTCAAATCAGTCCTGAGCCATTGTTACTCTAAAAGCCATTATTTTATGTTAACCAGCACCTCTCCATTTCATTTTTTATGAAAGGTAAATTCCCTGCAGAAAAATAAGTAATGGTGAATGCCAATAACCAGTTCTCCTCTGGTGCCATTATGGGCTAGGAAATCCCACTGAAGTCCTGTCCTACCTGGGCAGAGCTCAGGCCCTACTGGCAGCCAGGAACATCCCATTAACTCCTTTGGTTCAGTCAAATATATTTTAACATTTTAACTATTTAGATAGTCAGAAGATTAGGTTTCAAATAAAATATTAATTAGTCCAAAGGCAAACTTCCACACAGCAAATATTTTATGCCCTAAAGAGAAGGGGGAGTGGGGTGGAAATATCCTTGGCTATAACACTTAACTTCTCCCAGATGCTGCAAGAAACCTTGAGGCAACACCACTATTTCCCTTGAGAGGCAACAGGAAAGAGACTGGGAGCAGCACCGAGGGATGCCGGGGGTTAGGGGAGAGCTAAAATTAAAAAAAAAAAAAAAGCTCAAAAATACATCACAACACACACTGTAGATCTCACACGACCCGTTTCACTTCCCTGAATCCCAGCATGGACTTTTGTTGTTTGTTTATTGAAGAAGAGCAGACTACACACTCCTTTTGCACGTGGAGCTCCCCAAGCTTCCCAGTGCTGGTGGCCTAGGAACATCACTATCCACAGGGCATCTGCTCCCTCCACCTCTACGTAACTTCTCAATGCTCCTGGCGTTACCTTTCAGGCCAACAGAAAGAACCCTCATCCACTTTCCAGTACCTAGTTGATTAGTTTACTAAAGGGTCTAGAACCTGGTTCAGGATAACACTGTACTTTGAGCTAAAGCTAAAAACAAAAGTATTCCAAGTGAAGACAGAAAAAACCAGAACAGAGGCTGGGAGTAAAGCAAGGGAGATCCTGGCTGAAGTCATTTCACCTGCAATGGACAGATCTATGGAGGGAAGAACAAAAGGACGCAGTTATCAAGAAGCTCAAGGTTGTGTGGCTGTTTTAGGTACTGTTGAGGTGCGAAGACTGAGATAAAGGCTCAGCCATTCCTGATGATGGATAGGTACGGCAGGAATTTTATGTTGGCACCTTACAGTTAGCAACAAGGCATGCCCAGGTAAAGATCTTTGGACTTTTGGCAGTGTCACAGGGGATTCTTTTCCACAAGAAGAGCTGCAGAACCATTTCCAGCACTGCTCATCCAGGAGCAAACAAAGCCCTTGGAATTCTCAGATAGGACAGCACTTGGCTGGATTTTACACTGATGTTGAAGGAGAAATAACTGATAGGAGGAACAGGGGGAAAAAAAAAAAAAAAAAAGCCTTCCTAGGAAGGGACCATGCAAGTACTTCCAAGGGGTATTATATACTTTCTGAACACATGAACCCCTGTAATTCCTTCCAGGTGACACACTGCTGCATGTTTTTCTTACGTTGCATTTAACTCATTTGAGGTATCAAAGTCACTCTAGAAGAGCTGTGTCCTAGGTTAGAATGCCAAAGAAATTCGTAAGGAGATGCACCTATCCCAGCAGATTTGAGAGAGGAGAGGCAGAAACAGGGGTAGTAGGGAAGGATCACAGTACAGAAACCAGTATTTCAGAGTACTGGAGGATGCACAGATGCAAAAGAGTTAACTGGAGGCAGAGTGGTCCTGTTGGCAGAGTTACCCACCAAGCTCCTTGCGAAGCATGTGCTAGGAGGTGTGGGTCTGGCAGGGGGAACAGCCGTAGCTGTAATCACCGGAGGATGATCCTTGAGGCACGAGAGCTGAAGCAAAGGGATTTCGTTTTGTTAGAAAGCCCGCCTGACAAACTGATAAGAGGGCACAGAGACAGAGGCAGGGCGTAGGAGCTGCAGGCTTGCTCCTTCCCAGTCGAAGGCTTCCATCTGCTTAGGTCAAGCAAGGTTTGCTCCTAGAAAGGAGAAGCCCAAAATTCAGGATCGTAGGAATCTGGGCTATAACAACAAAGGGGGCCTGGCTGTTCTTTGTCTGCTGACAATCAGGTTTGTTTTAGAAGACCGAATTGTGTTGCTGCATACACTTTCTGATAACAAGAGGGAAGGGAAACCTCCCGAAGGGCATTAGATAAGGTTGACCCTGCAGGAAAAGGTGCAATACAAGACCCAGCTGCTGAAGCCTACGGAGCCAGCTTGAACCTGGCAAGGCTGCAGGGTCTTTCACTGAGCAAACAGCAAGGGAAAAAATGCACTGCAGCAGCACACAGGTATAGCCTGCTTGATGACCTCTGACAAAACTAGAAGGGCAACATGCCCCAAGCCTTGTGCTGGTGTGGCCTCCCATTAACATATGCTCCTAAACACAATATTTGAAGTGATGAACTTTATACAGACACAAGGCTTTTCTCTCCCCAAATACACCTTAAGTGGTTTTCCTTTTGAGAATACAAAAAACCTCAGGAGCCTAAGAAGTGAAAAATTCTGTCCTGGCACCATTACTGTTACCTTAAATCTTGAAGCTTGCCCTCAGCATCTGTAATGGTCAGAAGTGAACGCAATGAATTTAGGGTGTGAATGCTGAAAGACATGCTCCAAGACCTACATCTTGGATCTCACAGCATTCGTGGTTTCCAGTTTGCATGGTGCTTTCTGGTGCTGTTTTCGTGTTTGCCACACTGAGGGGTTAATGATTAAGGGTTTATCATTAAGGACCCCAACCTCTCCCCCTCGCGCACATTCTTACTATGAGACCAACTGGGCATTAGTGTATCTGTACAACGACTGCAGGTCAAATGGGCTCCTAATCCAGATAATCCACCCAGTGTGATTGGTTACAGTTCTGTAGAAATCCTTTAATTTTCATTCTCTTGCCACTGCTGACAGTCAGGGTTTTGTTGGCACATTAGCAGCAAGGTAATGGATGCAGGTGGATTTGAATACCTTGCTTTGCATGTGGCAGCATCAGACTGCCAAAAATAAATACACATTAAGAAATCAGGAAATACACCCTTATTAAACCAGGGCAGTTATTTCTTTAAAAAAATGACATCTCAGAGCTGCAGCACTGAGAGGCAAAAGCATGATGCAGAAGAGGAATGCTTTGGTACGAGGCTTCATCCCCAGTTTTCGGACATCTAACCTGCCCTGGCCTCCCAGACCAGCTCCGTGCCTGCCTCTGCAGCCTCCACAGGACATATGCTGACATGTTGCCTGGCCAAGTCAGTTGACTTAAGTACCAAAAGACAACCCTGGGCAATGCAAAACTTAGCCAGGCCTCCCCACAACCTGACCAGAATGCTTCCCCTTCCTGAGAAGATAGCTTGCTGTGAAACCAAAAATCCCTGAAAAGCAGGGAATGCCTTAAAGGCCACTTCCAAACGCCAGAGGTGGAGAGTGCTATGTTTGCAACAGAAGCAAGACCTCACCACTGGCAGTGAGGGAGATGATCACCGGTCTTTTGGCAAAGACAAGGTGACGGGAAAATCAAGTTGGGGAACAGAAAACAGTTTCCTTTGCTCTACAGCAATAAACCTGGAGGTATTTTTAAAACAGAATAAAGCAAGCCCTAAACCCCACCCTATCAGACTCCAGTCAGCAGCCTACTGGACTTTCACAGACTAAAGGTCGGGACCAGAGGAAGCAATAACAAACAGACCAGGTTTGCTCCTTTGCTTGAGCACGGGCTGCAGCCTTCCGCATGGCTATGGCCATTTTGGCTGAGAAACTCAGCTTTTTTGTTGTCTGGCCTCAACAGTCTCTTAAACAGAGGCACAAACAAAAATAAATCTCCTCGTCTTCCAAAATCCTGACACCTGCCTGCGTGGCAGAGAAGGTGGCTGTCAGGAAGAGCCAGGGTGAGCACAAGGAGCCTTCAGTTAAGCAGCTTTACAAACTGAGCTGCAGCAAGCAGGAGTGAAGAATAGGCAACAACTGGGGTTATAAAAAGGCGACAGAGATGGGGAACTCACAGGAACACAGTTGATTTGTGGAAAAGGTTAAAAGCATTCAGCTCTTCCTAACATAATGATAAACTGTGCTGGTTTAAACCCACAGATGTATTTCTGAGCTACCAGTTTAGTTACATTGATGGAATCTCCTGGGGACTCTACAAACCTTACAGAGAAGAACAGCTTACTCCAGCCGTAGTTTGAGTGCTGTGCTCAAAAAAAGCAAAAGTTCTTAGAGAAGAGAACGGAAATGAGACAAGTACACTTAGTAAGGAGGCAAAAGAAACCTTATTTAGAAGGACCCATAGAAGACTACTCTCATTTCAATGAAACACTATCTAGAGTTGCCGTAGTAAACAATAACACACTCAACAAAAAATTTGGAGGGAAGAAAAGTCCTTTCCATGCTTTTGAGAATGTGGGGAGGCAGGATAAGGAGGACAACAGATCCATTTCCAATTACTAAGAGTTGTGGCAGGGTGCCAATGCATGCACCACCTTAGAAATGCAATATCTTGTGTCAGCTTGCTCCTTTAAGGCATCACCTTACAGTGTTCACTAGTCAATGCTAAGCCATAGGACCAAGCAGACTGGACCTGAATCCACAGACTAAGTAGTTTTGTATTTGCCATGCAGCATTTCAAAACCCAAGGTCCCCCACGCGTGCATTCAGTCCCCTCAAACCATTTGAGTGTCCTCCCTCTGGTGCCACATTCTTTGCATGTGACTTCAGAAGAGAAGTAACACTTTCAGCCCCAAAGTCCTTTTAAAATTCACCTCCTGTTCAACTACTGACAGTTCTGAATTCAGTGACAAATATGTTGGCTAGCAACTCAGCTACAGGAGAGAAAGAACACCCCACAAAGAGGTGGAACCTAAGAACAAAGGAGGAGAACAAAAGCCCCCCTTCTCCCAATTTGTCTGCCCACATACCAAAGATCAAAAGAGCTCCAAGAAGCCTGTACATAATCTACATACTTTGTGACCTTATTACAATCAAATTCCCTGCAGGCACGGCCACTGTGTATATATGCACACACTGTAAATACACAAGCGGGTCTGTGGAAGTTTGCCAAGTCATTTGCTCCATGCATTGAGTTTGCTTACTTTTAACAATGCTGAGGCCAAAGAAGTGAGGCTCTTTAATCTTCAGTAAATCACAAACTTGCTGAAAGAGCTCCTGTCCAGTGGCTTTGACCTGAAAGAAACAACCAATCCAACATTACAGATGGCTCACACACCTGGGTAGTGTAGTTCTCTTTTACACTGGCCAATACATTTTTGGGTACCATAGGAAAAAAAAAAAAACAACCAACACATTCCACAGAACAAATTTTGTTTTCAGTACTATTGCTATTATCAGAGAACAATAATCAAAGTGTCACTCTTCCTTCACAGTGGCTTTGCTCAGTAGGACACGAATTTAAAGTTCCCTATCTATTGGCATCTTCGTATAAGAATTTGGAGTGCTGCTGGAGCCCACTGTGTAGTAATATTGGGCCAGTAGTAGCCCATTGTGCAGTATTGACCAGGCTATTTATAGGTGCTCGTAGAAAAAGTGTGTTTGTAATTACAGAACTGAAAATACTACTCTCTTGCAGGTGTTTGGGGTTTGGTTGGGTGGGTTTTTTTCCCCCACAGAGATTAAGAGAAAACAAAAACCAGAGAACTTTCATTCAGGAGAACTAAAACAAAGTACACAAACAAACCCAAGGCTGCATGGTTTGAGCAGAAACAGCTCATGGGTTAGAGATGAGGCTGCTCTTTCCCCACACAGAAGAGCTTGTTCTGTTCCCTGCTGACTTCTGGTGGCACAGCAATTAACATCTTCATCTGCCAAAGCTGTCACTGATGGCCTGTAAGCTCCTGCCCGTTTTCCTGCCACACTGAGACCTTCCAGTACCCCCGTAATGCTGTGCACGCACTGGGAAAGCGGAGCTGCCAGCACTCGCTCGCGTAGAGGATTGGGGATGCACTGTTCTGGCAGGGCTGCCTCCCCCTGCAAGAGTGTGATTCTGGCTACCTGCACATGCTGACCTGGATGGGCAGGATGAGCGGGAGATTCCCCCACTAAGTGTCTCCCCCTACCTACCACTTCATTTCCCCCTCCTTCCCTGCACCACCCCAGAAGCACAGAGAGACAGTCACAAAACCCCCCAAAAGTTCCCAACTGTCAGGGGCAGGGGGGAAGGAGTTCTGAGCAAGAGTGGATGGGGAAAGCAGAACCCTTGACAGACAGCCTCAGCTCAGCCCAGGGTGCAGCCAGCTGTAAAATGGGCCAGAACCTCCGGATTTTGTTACGCTACTGCGGGACGATGCAGATTAGCAGCAGCCGCTTTCCCGCGGGGTAACAGTGCAGCACCACCTTCACAGCAGCAAAGATAACAGGGCAGAAGTCAACTACAGAACTCTCCTACAAACTAATCGCCACCATAATTCTCCAAACGCATTGAGTGCAGGTGTGCCACACTCCCCAGAACCTGGCTACAGTTCTCTCCCTGCCCCACGATGTACCATGTCACTAGACATGGACAATGGGAAACAGGAGGTCATTTAAGTACTCTTTTCTTCTACTTGACATGGCATCACTAGCCAGCCACTCACTATCGCTCCATCAGGAGCTTTGAAACCTGCCCTACACCGGTACACACACACACACACGTGTGCATATACGTGCTTGGGGAGGGGAGGAGGTAGTGCCCAGTTCTGCTAAGACCCAAAACCACATGCGGGTCTTATGATGGATCTCTCTGTGAGACTGCACCCTTACCATCTCACACTTAAATGCACTGTTTGTTCAGTCACCAAGAACACGCAGTTAGAAGGGAAAATTTGGCATGGATCTGCCTCCTTACTCAGAAAGCAAGCTGCTAGCATGTTCTCCTACCTGGGAAGGGCTCACTAAGGAAGAAGTGACCTACCCCTAGCCAGAATGGATAGATGCAAGCAAGAGTCACTGGCAGCACAGGACTAGGTAAAAGCTATACGATTAGATGAATTTTTTAAGTGGCATGCTTCCATGCCTAAGGGAAGAAAAACCTGCTTGAAGATACTTAGTTTTAGGGAACTGAGCACTTTGGTGTTTTGTGACATTCAGCTCTGGATTTCTTGCACAGAATCAGCAAGATTTCTTGCACAGCCGGTATGTGAACCACCACCTTGTCCATTCTCCTTTTGGCACTTCCCTTCTGTATCAAGTTCTACTCCCAGCCTTCAAGGCTATGCAATACGGATTACACTTGCCCTTACGGTTCCCTCCTGCTGCCTTCCCCTCTTCTCAAAGCAACCAACATTTCCATTTGCATTTATCATCTGTGCACTTCTCTTTGGCCTTTCCTCCCTTTGCATATGGTTCCCGTGCCAAGCTCCATCCCAGACACGCTATGAATCATTCCTTCCCCTGATACTCAGCTTTGACCCATGTCAGGCTTCTTTACACATGAAGTTTAATCCAAAGTGAAGTTGAGTGCAAGTTTACAGAAGGTAACTGCTACTCCATTCTGTGTGCAAACACTCATGCATATTGGTTACCTATCTCTATTTTTCTTGGTCCACATGCTTTAAACCATCCACTCTCCTGCTCACAGAATTGAGAGACTTCAGCCCTATGCTTGCCATTCACCAAGACACTGGATGTCACCAGACTTCATAGATTTCTGCTTATGTTCCCACTCTTTCTTCAGCAGTGAGAAAAGGAGCAATATCCGCTGTGGCTGCTCCTGAACTACCCAAACGCAGGCAGGGTGGCTGCCTGCTCTGCTCCCTTCGTTGGCAGCCAGACCTTTGCTAACACAGGTCTCTATCCTTTATTCAGCTGCTACCATGCCAGAAAATTCTCAGAAACCTAATCATAAAAACTAGTTGATACTGATCAACAGGTTCAAAGCTACTAAGGAGATAAGCCACAGTGCTGGCAGATAAACAAAACGGAACAAACGGGATACCACCCCAAGATCTTTGGCGCAACCAATACAATTTTTTGCTGCACCATTCTCACTCACAGCCTGCTTAAAATCCCTGGTGCTCATACTCCATCTCCCCACTGGGGCTGCCTGGAGCAGGGCAGAGCTTTGCCCTGTGCTCTGATATCCATCCGCTCTCCCCAGTGGAAACCTCCCGCTCCACCTCACTGTCCTTGGGGCGGCTGGTGAGCTGCAGCACCCACTAGTTCTCCCCATGTTCACACTGGTCCTGGGAAGACAGTTTTCTTCCTCATCATCCCCTCAAATTCATCCGTACATCCAGAAAGGTAGACACCAAGGTTAATTAAGAGATACCCAATTAAGGGTGAAGAGACTTTAAAATGGCTCTTCTCTCGTCAACAGCACTATCTGTGAAGGGCATAATACAAATCCATTTTAAAGAGTGGGCTTCAACCTCCATGTGACCACATAAAACAGATATAGGTAAACTCTTATCTGGAAGGGTGGAATTTATATGGGAGGAGAGCAAGAAAGGAATTACCTGCATAAACACTGTGCTTATCACGAGAAGGATCTATAATTTATTCTGCTGGAAGGATAACCATTCCTACCTACCTCACTGAGCTGAAAACGTGTTTAGTATTTGCATTCCACACTGAAGAGGTTAAAAGGCTTTGGAAGTCTTAAGTTGTGGCATTACCATTCTAATAAATGCACAAAGTATCATCTGTGGTTGTCCTAATTAAATTTGGCTTCTACCAACATCACTAGAAAATTGCCTTGATGCTTCTTAAAAAAAAAAAACAACTCTCCAGCTGTGAAATCTTAATTTTTGTTGTTGTTTTGAAGGGGTGTTGTGGTAAAGAGAAGCCAAATGAAATGCTGGTTTTGGTGATTTGCCCAGCTGCAACAGGTCATGTTTCACTCTCTATGCAATTAGGACACAACTGTGTGTTGAGGACTCATGTTTTGGCCTGGGCAGCTATTGCCTTTCACACACAGGCATCTCTGCGTACGTAGTTTCCCAATGTCCCAGTCGCCAAAGCAAGGGGCAGCACAAGCGAGGAGAGAAAGTGTCTTTAAAACAGCTACCATGGGATGCTGTGGCAGGGACTCCTCCGTGGGACAAGGCGGTGATGTTCAAGACCCCTTGGGGGGCAGCAGGCAGGAACAGGTCATGGGGGGATACACGGGGCCTTCCCTCCAGCCCTGTCAGTGCTCCATGAGAAAGACCATTTCTTATACTCATTAAAAACCCTGGAGGTATTTAGAAGACAAGTAGATGTGGCGCTTTGGAACATGGTTTAGTGGTGGACTTCAGTGGTGTTAGGTTTATGGACAGACTCGATGATCGTAAGGGTCTTTTCCAACCTAAATGTTTCTGTGATTTTATGACAAACTGCAGGTATCCAGGATTTACCGTATGGCCTAAGCACAGCCTAAAATAGTGACCCAGCGACGGAGGAATAACAGTGTGCCCAGCTCAGGCACACTGAGGATTGGTGATGGCGTCAGCCCTGCCGGCATGCTGCCCTCCTGCACCTTCCCTGTGGCAGGGCGGCCTCCGCTATCTCGGATCTTTAGTCTCACTGATAAAAGCTATAAAGAAGGTGAGATTTAGGGTCAGCCGCAACAGACCATTACCCAGGCCCGTGCACCTGCTGACAAGAACTTAATTAAATCATCATTTTGCGGCTTGCACAAAAGCCAGCATATTGCAAAAGCCTTCTGGGGCGGTAGACGGGTTGGATTTGGAGCAGTAACCTAGAAGCAGAGCACCCCAGATTTTACTGCTGAAGCCTTGTTCCACCCCAGCCCTCCTGGCTGCCTCAATTAACGATGCCATGCATAAGCACGTAAGAAAATTGCTACATGGATTTTGAAGATTAGCACGCAAAAGCCACGGTTTCAGTCGAGTGCTTAAAATAACAGTTCACCTCAACTGTCTTCTTCCCCTCCCCATGTCGGGGGGCAACCCACCCAAAACAAAGCAAATCCCCCCAAGCCCACACGAGTGGCATGCCCACGCTCACAAGGGAGCACTTACCTTTGAGGCTAGTGTGTCCTCTGAACGTGAAGCGCCTCTGTCAGCTCAGTTCCTCGCAACTTCAAGGAGCAGCTGGCGTTGCACAAAGAAGCACCGCGCCACGGTGGACACCGTGCCGGGCCACCAGCTGACCCGGCTCTGCTGTCACTTGTGCACGCACACTTCAGCATTGGAAGCAGTGATCCAAGAAACGAAGTGACTTACCTCTGGTTTTTGTGCGTACAAGTACTCAAAGACGGTGAAACACCCCCCCACCCTCAATGGCTGTTCACTCTGTCTTAGAGAGTTTGAAGGGAGCAGGCTATTAAAACCAGAAATAGCTAAAACACCAGAGCAAATGGTCACGTGTTGGGCACGTTTGCCACGTCATCAAGGCATTTCAGCCTCGATTTCTTAAAAATTAGCTAGTTTGTTATCAGTGGCAAAAACACTCGGAGGGAACAAAAAAAAAAAATAACAGAAGAGCAGAGGGGACCACCTGCCCAAAACCACAACCACGACTTTTAAGGAACTCTGCAAATGAGTTGAAGCAGCCCAATTAGAAAATGGAGCACCAATTACCCTAAGCTGGCTAACAGATTTTTGGTCAGCAGACCAGCACCAGGCTTTCGGGAGAACAGTGGGAGCTAACAAAACTAAAACGCAGCCACGACCTCCCTGGCCACTCACCCCGACGGCCAGGCTGAGCTGCTCCCGGGTGGGCAGGAAGACACAGACGTTCCGGCTCTCCGGCTGCATCCTGCTGGCCAGCAGCACCCTGCTCATGGTGGGCAGCTCCGCAGGGGTCAGGATCTCCTCTCTGGGCAGTCTTCAAGCTCCCTTCATCCCATGCACCTGCCAAGAAGGTGAGAGCATCAGTGCCACGCTCCTGCCGGCGCTGGGAGCAGCCCATGGCACATGCTTGACAAGATGTTTTCCTCCTCACTGTTGAAAAAAGCAGCTTCATCTGCTTTACTGTGCCACCGTTAATGTTTCCACCGCATCGCAGCACAAACTGGGCAAAGTTGACCTTTAAAGAGCCTGTGAGTCCCAGAAGAGTGCCATAAAGCGATCACGTCTCCTTAGACTAACAGAGGTTTCAGGACGCATGTAGGTGATGAGGCAGACGACACCATGGACTGCTCCCTGATAACACCCATGAGAGAGGGGAGAGCGTCCCATCCTCCAACCGGGTACCTCGCTCCTGCCAAAAGCGGAGGTGCCAACGAGCCGTCAGCAGGCACATGCCAGTGCAGCGGCCCTGTGAGCTGTCTTCTCCGTCTCTCTGCTCCTACTCCCTGGGAATCTGCTGAGCCCAACTCCCTTACACCTCAACTCAAAGGAAGAGGAGGATACACAAACTCACAAGGCCGAGCTGCTGCTTCGTACTTTTTGCGAGACAAACACAGCCGGCCCCCTCCCAAGGGCTTCCCAGGGCAAGGAAGCATCCCATGGCACCTGATGAGTCCAGAAGGAAGGGGAAAAGCTCCTCGAGCGTAGGCTAGGGCTGAACGCTGGCACAGACCTGAACCATTGGGATACCAACTGACTATGGGGTCCACCCCATCCCCGCACAAGATTTGATGCAAGCCAGCAAACCCTGGCTGCCCCAAAGTCACCCTAGCATGACTCCCTTCAGCCAGAGACACCCATCACCAGTGCAGCAACAGAGATGCTGCTGGCCGGTGCTTGCCCAAAAAGCCCCCTGTACCCCCAGGGACGGGCACGTACCCCTGCAAGGGCAGCCAAACGCAGTGGCTCTGGCAGCACTGCCTTCTCCCACCAGCCACAGCCTGTGGGGGCAGGGCTTTTCCTTCACCCTCCAAAACAGATTCAAGGAAGAGGGATCACAAGCAGCAAGGAAGCAGGTCATGTTATGTTGACATAGTACATAAGTACATATATCTACATGTGCATGTGTACATTACATATGAACTTTGAAAGCATTTGGTATTTAAAATCACACTTGTCCTGTTCCAGGGGAAATCATGGCAGAATCACCCTCTTGCGTGGGAGATGGGAAAAGCAAGCCCTCATGGGAAAACAAACTGTAGTACAGAAAAAAAACTTGGATCTACCCATCTCCCTTCAATTCTGTGCTCAAACATTATAGTTTCTTTATTTTTTTAATCAAATACAAGAAAAAGATCGATAAGTATCCTTTTGCAAATACAAAAGCTGTTCCATGCACCTCCTTCCCTGAGCCAGCATATACAACGTTCCTTAATAAAGCATTTTTTGATACATGTCCTTTACCGAGAACATCTGCTATAAGACAGAAGTACAAAAAATTGCATTTATTGTATTAATGAAAAGTGGGGTTATTAAAGGCTATTATTACTTTTTTCCCCCCTAAAATCAGAATTTAATTAAACAATAACTAGGAGCTTTAAAAAGAAGATTGTTCTAAATTATAAGCAAGCAGAAAAGACACATTTCATTTCCTGGGTCAGGTAAAAGATTCTATTAAATGAAATATTAAGAGAAACACTCTGATGTATCTTCTCTTATCGATATAATTATACTGATGAGCTCTCTTGGGCTCCAGGCTACACACTACTAACAGCTACGTATAAATTACAGATGTCTACAGAGTGCTCGAGGGCAACAGGTCACCATTATTATTGCCAGCTTATGTCATATGCGCCATAAACTTTATCAACAGCATAAAGGCCTTGGAGTATGAGCTCAGGCTTTCCAGCATAAGGAGGTTTGTCTTAATTGCCAAACCACTGCCCTGACTGATACACATTCCCACTGACAGAGAAGATCACGTTTAGCGAAGTCATTCCTGCGTCTCCTAACAGAACAGAAAATAAGAAAAACAAGCAACTGTGAAAAGCATGTGCACAGAGTTTTCTGTGGGTAACTGAAGACACTGAATCCCACCTTCCCCCCCTAGCATTTATAAAACAAAGCTTCTGGAAAGCTTTTCCTCTAGTCTCACACCTGCTTTGTCCATTTGAATTTTTAAGAGAACAACTGGTGGACCCTGGAAGCAAGGAAGTGAGAAAAGAGGTTTTAAAACAAATGAGCTTGTAGACCCTGCCACAGCAGGTAAGAGGTTAAAGTAGCAATGTCCTTAATCTGAAAAGGGGCGGAGCGGAGAATGGGGTAAAACACAAGCCCAGCTCAGCCTTCTCTTTAGAGGTATGCTAGGATGTGATAACATAATGAATCATTAACTTGCTAGCATTGCACGTTTACACTTTTTTTAAAAAAAAAAGTTGCGAGCCAAGAGTAACTGTCCAATAAAAACAAGTGGCCAGAAGGAATGCTCTTACTTAAACATACACAATTTCAGACTGCCCATATGCCATTCTTTTGTTTACCACAGATTCCAACCTCTTAACCTCAATTAAACCCTAAAAGCTCCAGCAAATGCACCGCAGATGAATTAATAAAAGCCAAAGTCAATCATCGGCCTCTGGGATACCCTACAGGTTGTTTGGTTTTGTTGTTTTGTTTTGGTTGGTTTTTGGGTTGTTTTTTTTTGTTGGGTGTGGGTTTGTTTTGGTGTTTTTTTTTTTTTTTTTTAAATAACATCACGTTTCAGCTCCTGGAGAAGTGCATTTTGAGATATAATTGCTTGGTCAAAGGCCCTGCAAGTCTATCAATGAAACAAAGGCATTATTTATTTGTATTCTTCTGGTATCAGTCAGGAGGCTTATTAACACCCAGAATGATGGCACAGCTTATTTAGCACAGTTTATTTTACCTAAACATGAGTGCAGCGAAGCTTTGGAAAACATGCCTGTCATTAATTTAGAGTCTCTCCTGATTAAACAGCTCAAACACAGCCATAAAAATGCTTTCAAAGAACAGCTCTGATCTTCACCTCCTCTCTGCACAGCCCCATGAGCTGCCTCCAAGTACCAGAGAACCACCTCAGCACTTGCTGGGTCAAAGCAGGAATTGCTGAGGTTTGCCCCAGCAAGAGGGCAAGAGTGGCAAAGCTCTTGAAGGGGGAAGACCGATTTGTTTTTCATCAGGATGGCCAGCTAAACCACCTCTCACAGCCCGTATGCACAGCAGCATGAGGATGACCTGCTACGTCTGAATTTGGGGCCACACCGTGGCCAGCCTATCCACAAGCAGGTCTCATCCAAATGGCACGTGGGTTCTCATGGTCTTACGAGCATTCTACTGCTGTATTTTACGCATCAGTTCACGGCACCACAGCGAATTAGGTCCTAATCTTGATTTCAGCCTCTAGGTACTGCCACAACCACATCTCAAGGGGCTAAAGCAAATAGATGAACAAGCAATGACCTACCAGCTCAAAGCAGCAAAAAACAAAGTCCTCCTCTATCGAGAAAAAAAGCACAGGTAATTCTGTGCTTCTCTCAAAAACACCTAGAAATATGCTTTGTAAGGTCTACTACAGTAAAACATCTTAGGAAATCTGGTTTTGCTAGAGCTGACAGAAAACGAGCGTTAAGCATCTTCCTGATGAAACCCTACCAGAGTGACCCTACAGAGTTCCATCAAAAAACGTCCAGAAACGTTAAAACTCTTCATAACATTTTCCAGACATTATCCAGGGATGTCTTAAGCTTCTAAGGCAACTGGACTCGTAGGCTGCAGTTTCACAATCAGCTTAAGCAGCTTTAATTAAGGTAGTCCTGTAGCAAGACAGACAGACAACTGCCTGGAAACAAATCTGCCTTTGGCAGCAACCCACACTTGGGCTGCCTCCTAGTCATGATGAAGCGCGACCTTGAAACTGAGAACCTGAACCCCTCACCTTCCAGGTATTTTGTCCCCTCAGAGGCATACCGTAGGGCACCAGCACTATCTGCAAAACAGAGTAAAGAGCCTGAGCAAGTAGAAGATGTAATGATGACATATGTTAGCCTTTCCCAGCAACTTTAAGACCCCACCCACCTTGTTTGGCTATCCCCTGAGATGATGAAAATTTCTCTGAAGAGATGAATCAATCAGGAAGGAGGGAAAAAAAGGTTGCTTGTCAGGGCAGAAAACAAGGCTGAAGCTAAATCGCTTTGCATCACAGCTGCAGATGATGTGAAAAACGCCACCTGCAACCAACAGCCAGGCCAACTCTGTCCTGTCCCGCTGCAAATTCTCAGAAGCACAATGACTTTTCAAACATACCTGCCTCAGCATCACTCCAGGACTAGCATGACACATCCAAGGGCAAGGATGCAGGGTACTGAATTTGGTGTCTACTCACTGCTTTTGGGGTAGAATACACACCTGCCTTCAAAAGCTGAGTACTACTTAGTAGGAAGCCCCTATTCTAAGCCATTGAATGAGGAATACCAAGATACCTCCCATTAACTTGGGTACTCTGAAGTACTGGATTCCCAGAACTGACACAACAGGACAGACACAGCCCTGTCAGTAAAGACAACAGGCTTTCAGACCACAGACATGGGAGATGCAATCACAGCAGGCCTTCTGCATCTGCTAACAACACCTGCTAGAGCCGAGCGCAGTCCTCTCACAAAGTGGGATGCAGGCCTTTCTCCCACTTTTCCTTTTCAAAAGGTGTAATGGGAGATGCCTACAAAATCTCCAGGGCTGTGGAGCCCTAGCAGACTTAGTCATCACCCTGCACCTTTTGGGACAGTTGCGGAAACGGCAAAGCATTGATGTTAATGTCAACTAACATCCTTTTTCTTCTCTTTCTGTACAAAGAACACTCCCTGGTGACACTGAGCTTGAATAGAGAGGAAAATGCTTTCTCATTAGTCTTCATCGCAGGATTAGACACAGCTCTTAGTCAGGTGTAACTGCCCACCCTCCACCTTCATACTGCAAAG